TTTCAATTTGATAATGCGTGTGGGTTGGGGGTTAGTAACAGAAAGACGTAGTCTTTTTTTTTTTTTGTTTATAATGTTTTTTTCTTTATAGGATGGTTATTGGAGAGAGCTGGAGAGGTTACATTTTGGTGTGGAACCAATGTGTGTGTGTGTGTGTGTGTAAAAGGGGATGCTTTATAAGCCTATTTTGGTGTCTGTGTGTCGGCGGTGATGGTAGGGTGTGTGTGGATGAAATGGTAGCATATTAATAACGAAGGATATACGTTCACCGGATTCCTTCCGGCATAGCCTTGTCAGAAGTGCGACTGAACAAAAGTTTTTTTTTTTCTTTTTTAAATTTATTTTGTTTATGTAGATAGTTGATGGTGGTGGTCGGTCGGGGAACAGAGACGGATCAGTCCGCTTTTTCTGTTACTCTCCTTTTCTCCCATCGGCTCGGCACCCTGGTTCCCATCTACTCTCATCCACAGTCGCCTGAAATGCGTCAGTAGCCGATCTTATGTTGTGCGTATGGCGAGCAGGACGGATTGGGTTACAACTGTCAAAAACTGTGAAAGTGAAGAGGTAAAGTAGTTGGTGTTAGTGGAGGTCGTGGTAGTAGAGGCAGGAGAGAAATTGGTTTGAGTGTTGAGAGAAATATAGACGGATGGTTGCAAAGAGACAACAGAGTTTTAAAAAGTAAGATCTTTCTCTCTCTCTGGCCCTGTATATATATATATATATATATATATATATATATATATATATATATATATATATATAAATATGAAAAGGGAGAGAATAAATTGAGTAGGCTTTCCGTTTTATTCTCTCTTTTTCCTTATTATACTTATATATATATATATATATATATATATATATATATATATATATATATATATATATATATAATTAAATATTATAATAAAATATATATATATATATATATATATATATATATATATAATTACATGAATCATTCATACAAAAGAACAAATATAGAGGTTAATGATTTAAATGGCGAGAATACATCTTCGCAAACAATTTCAATAAGGTACACTAACCCCGAACCTGTACATGAATGATATGATCCCTGTTTATTAATTCCAGTTGTATAAGGTCTTTTTAATTTTTACAAGCTTTCGTCTGTTCCTACAGACATCCTCAGGTATGGAAATCCAAGCCGCTAACCACTGCTCCACCGTGCCTCCTCTCATATATATATATATATATATATATATATATATATATATATATATATATATTGTGTTTGTGTGTGTGTGTATTCCGTTAAACACGACTGAAAAGGTACTACGATTAAGCTGTTTATTTAGTTTCTCTTGTGTTCGTACAAGTGTTTTCTTTTCTGAATACAAAGTGTGTAAAAAGCTATCCAAATGTTCTGTAATTGCGAGCGAATTCGGCTACTGTTTTAGACAATATAAAGGATGGTTTTATTTTTACTTTTTACTTGAATGTATGGTTTGTGTGTATGTATCTAGAGTTATAAGGTTGTTTTATTTTCCAAACATGGTCAGCCCACTTTAGCCGTGTGCGTAGTTAATGTTACTGAGTGCAGTAGGTTTGGAACAAACGCAATTTTTTTTAGGAGGTGTCTCCAAATTGTTAATCATGCTAGAATATTCCTTCTCTCTCAGAAACTTCACAGATGCAGTAGGTTAGAGAAAATGTATCTGCACACATTTAAACACCCAATAAATACATAGTTTGAAAGTATTTTTTTTTTATGCTATATTTATGGGTAAATATCTTCATTATCACAGACAGTAAATATGAAGTCACTACTGAGCTCAACACTAAGTGGCGATTGTTTCATGCTTGATCGCAATCTTCAGTCCATCATGAAGATTGCGCATGAATCAGCCTATAGATCTGTTATTATTATCACAGCGTTTCGCCCGATATGCTCTCTAGCCCTCATCAGCTACTTGCCAACCGGGTAAACTTTAAGGAATATCAAACTTTTATATAACTATAACGGAAGATTGTTTCCTACTGCCATAACGTTAGTTCTTTGTGATTTTCTGTAAATGGCTTACGACCGCATCACGTTGTAACACCGGTTCCCGTACGGTCACCGACGTTATGCAGCGTCAAGCCTTGTCTGAACCTAGAAGATTACCCGCTTAGGAATATTAAGTGCTGCAAGCTTGTATGCGCGGTTGGTTTAATTGGATAATGGCTCGGAATTGTTAATCGTAGAGCTAAGTTCCAATTTCTGTTGGGTTCGATAATATTCCCTTATGAGCAAATAACCTTGGGAAAGGCATGAATCCACTTTTTCTTCACTCAACTATAGGGTAATTATTAAAATAGTATTATCTGTAAAAATATATTCTTAAAATCTAAAAATATTTTCTGGCTTTAAATAACCTGAAACGGGTTGATAAGCCGTAGAAAACGAATTGATCAATCAATCTAAGCAACATTGATCTATAAACATTTTCATGCAATGCCCATCGTCATCTTCTGTCTTCTTAATTCTTGTATTTATATATAT